TGTCTAGGTTGGTCTTAACTTTCCTTCCAAGGAGTGTCTTTTAATTTCATGGCTACAGTCATCATCTGCACTGATTTTGCAGCCACCCAAAATAAAGTCAGCCACTGTTTCCACTGTTTCCCCATCTATTTGCCATAAAATGATGGGACTGGATGCCATGATCTTAGTTTTCTGAATGTTGAGTTTTAAGCCAACTTCTTCACTCTCCTTTCACTTTCATCAAGAAGCTCTTTAGTTCTTCGATTTCTGCCGTAAAGGTGGTGTTATCTGCATATCTGAGATTATTGATATTTCTCCAGGCAATCTTGATTCCAGCTTGTGCCTCATCCTGCCCAGCGTTTCTCATGATGTACTCTGCATGTAAGTTAAATAAGCAGGGTGACAATATACAGCCTTGTCATACTCCTTTTCCTATTTGGAACCAGTCTGTTGTTCCATGTCCTGTTCTTACTTGCTTCCTGACCTGCATACAGATTTCTCAAGAGGCAGGTCAGGTGTCTGGTATGCCCATCTCTTTCAGAATTTTCCACAGTTTATTGTGATCCACACAGTCAAAGGATTTGGTGTAGTCAATAAAGCAGAAATAGATGTCTTTTTGGAACTGTCTTGCTTTTTCGATGATCCAGTGAATGTTGGCAATTTGATCTCTGGATCCTCTGCCTTTTCTAAAACCAGCTTGAACATCTGGAAGTTCATAGTTCACGTATTACTGAAGCCTGGCTTGGAAAATTTTGAGCATTACTTTCCTAGCATGTGAGATGAGTGCAACTGTGCAGTAGTTTGAACATTCTTTGGCATTGCCTTTCTTTGGGACTGGAATGAAAACTGACCTTTTCCAGTCCTGTGGCCACTGCTGAGTTTTCCAAATTTGCTGGCATATTGAGTGCAGTATTTTCACAGCATCATCTTTTAGGATTTGAAATAGCTCAACTGGAATTCTATCATCTCCACTAGCTTTGTTCATGGTGATGCTTCCTAAGTCCCACTTGACTTCACATTCCAGAATGTCTGGCTCTAGGTGAGTGATCACACCATCGTGATTAAGTGGGTCGTGAAGATCTTTTTTGTACAGTTCTTCTGTGTATTCTTGCCAGCTGTTCTTTATATCCTCTGCTTCTATTAGGTCCATACCAATTCTGTCCTTTATTGAGCCCATCTTTGCATGGAATGTTCTCTTGGTATCTCTAATTTTCTTGAAGAGATCTCTAGTCTTTCCCATTCTATTGTTTTCCTCTATTTCTTTGCACTGATCGCTGAGGAAGGCTTTCTTGTCTCTCCTTGCTCTTCTTTGGAACTCTGCACTCAAATGGATATACCTTTCCTTTTATCCTTTGCTTTTCTTTTCTCTTCCTTTCACAGCTATTTGTAAGGCCTCCTCAGACAGGCATTTTGCTTTTTTTCCATTTCTTTTTCTTGGGGGTGGTTTTGATCCCTGTCTCCTGTAGAATGTCACGAACCTCCGTCCATAGTTCATCAGGCACTCTGTCTATCAGATCTAGTCCCTTAAATCTGTTTCTCACTTCCACTATATAATTGTAAGGGATTTGATTTAGGTCATAACTGAATGATCTAGTGGTTTTCCCTACTTTATTCAATTTCAGTTTTAATTTGGCAATAAGGAGTTCATGATCTGAGCCACAGTCAGCTCCCGGTCTTATTTTTGCTGACTGTATAGAGCTTCTCCATCTTTTGCTGCAAAGGATATAATCAATCTGATTTTGGTGTTGGCCATCTGGTAATGTCCATGTGTAGAGTCTTCTCTTATGTTGTTTGAAGAGGGTGTGTGTTATGACCAGTTCGTTCTCTTGGCAAAACTCTATTAGCCTTTGCCCTGGTTTATTCTGTACTCTGAGGCCAAATTTGCCTGTTACTCCAGATGTTTCTTGAATTCCTACTTTTCATTCCAGTCCCCTATAATGAAAAGGGCATCTTTTGGGGGTGTTAGTTCTAGAAGGTCTTGTAGGTTTTCTTAGAACCGTTCAACTTGAGCTTCTTCAGCATTCTGGTCTGGGCATAGACTTGGATTACCGTGATATTGAATGGTTTGCCTTGGAAACGAACAGAGATCATTCTGTCATTTTTGAGATTGCATCCAAGTACTGCATTTCAGACTCTTTTGTTGACTGGGATGGCTACTCTATTTCTTCTAAGGGATTCCTGCCCACAGTAATAGATATAATGGTCATCTGACTTAAATTCACCCATTCCAGTCTGTTTTAGTTCACTGATTCCTAAAATGTCACCATTCACTCTTGCCATCTCCTGTTTGATCACATCCAGTTTTCCTAGATCATGGACCTGACATTCCAGGTTCCTATGCAATATTGCTCTTTCCAGCATGGGACTTTACTTCCATCACCAGTCACATCCACAGCTGGGTTTTGTTTTTGCTCTGGCTCCATCTCTTCATTCATTCTGGAGTTATTTCTCCACATTTAACACAGAGTTTGAATCTGCTTTTAAATGCAGGGATGATGTTCTAAAGACAGAGGTTACTTAATATGTTTAGCCATGTATTTATCCAGGAAACATTTATTGAGTGTCTAAGTGACTGTCTTAGCTCAGTTAGTAAAGAATCCGCCTGCAATGCAGAAGACCCCAGTCCGTTTCCTTAGTCAGGAAGATCCTCTGGAGGAGGGACAGGCTACCCATTCCAGTATTCTTGGGCTTCGCTAATGGCTCAGCTGTTAAAAAAACCACCAGCAATGTGGGAGACCTGGGTTCGATCCCTGGGTTGGGAAGATCCCCTGGAGAAGGGAAAGGCTACCCACTCCAGTATTCTGGCCTAGACAATTCCATGGACTGTATAGTCTATGGGGTCGCAAAGAGTTGGACATGACTGAATGACTTTCACTTACTTTACTTAAGTAACTCTGATGCAAGGTAAAAAGTGAAACATCCCCTCAAGAGATGTATGGGTAGACTGTTAATGGAGATAGAAGCCTACCGCTCTAACTGTTCAAGGTGGGGGGCTTGGGAACCTCTTACATGAGCTCCTGTGAACTTATGAAAATTCCTCAATACTTTCATCAAGACAGACTGAAGTGACTTGGCGATACTATGTACATTTGCAGTATTGGTACATAACTAAATGTAAGTATAGTACCTGAAAATGTAGTCAGAGAATAAAGAAAGTTTAAGGGCAACACTTAAGCTATTAGCTCACAATAATCTCTCTTTGCCCATGTTATTATAGTTAAGATCAAATGCTCTTACCATTTTGAACCAAATTTGAAATTTGGGAGAAGTGGTATACAGTTAATTTTAATGAAAATTTAGTCCACTTTGTTGAACTTGAAAATTCGAAAAGATGTATGTGTGCATAAACAGAATTGTGGGACTTGAAGTCTTGCAGTTTTTATGGAAAAGTAGATGAAGCTCTGAGCCCAGGGCATGTGGTAACACCATACTTCCCAAGTAGCTTAATTCAAGGGAAAAGTTAGTCACTCAGTCATGTCTGACTCTCTGCAACCATATGGACTGAGACCCACCAGGCTCCTCTGTCCATGGGATTTCTCAGCCAAGAATATTGGGATGGGGAGCTAAATCCCACATGTGTATGTGTTCCTGGGCTTTATTCAGACACAATGTGGTACTTCCTTGATAGAAGAAGAAATAAAGGTAGTCAAGTGAAGGAGAGTGTTACTGATTAAGGGCTTAGGTATATGTTCTTTAGGATCTAATGCTGTAGGTTGATGGAATTTTTTTTTGATGGAATTTTTTTATTCATATATGATTATCTTTAGAGATACCAAGGGAACATTTCATGCAAAGATGGGCACAATAAAGGACAGAAATTATATGGACCTAACAGAAGCAGAAGATATTAAGAAGAGCTGCCAAAAATAAAGTGGCTTTAAAGCTCAACATTTCAGAAAACTAAGATCATGGCATCTGGTCCCATCGCTTCATGGCAAATAGATGGGGAAACAGTGGAAACAGTGACAGACTTTATTTCTGGGGGCTCCAAACTCGCCGCAGATGGTGACTGCAGCTGTGAAATTAAAAGACGCTTACTCCTTGGAAGGAAAGTTATGACCAACCTAGACAGCATATTAAAAAGCAGAGACATTACTTTGCCAACAAAGGTCCATCTAGTCAAAGCTATGGTTTTTCCAGTAGTCATGTATGGATGTGAGAGTTGGACTATAAAGAAAGCTGAGTGCTGAAGAATTGATGCTTTTAAACTGTGGTGTTGGAGAAGACTCTTGAGAGTCTCTTGGACTGCAAGAAGATCCAGCCAGTCCATCCTAAAGCAGATCAGCCCTGGGTGTTCATTGGAAGGACTGATGTTGAAGCTGAAACTCCAATACTTGGGCCACCTGATGTGAAAAACTGACTTATTTGAAAAGACCCTGATGCTGGGGAAGATAGAACGTGGGAGGAGAAGGGGACGACAGAGGACGAGATAGTTGGAGGGCATCACTGACTGAATGGACATGTGTTTGAATAAAGCCTGGGAGTTAGTGATGGACACGGAGGCCTGGCGTGCTGCAGTCCATGTGGTTGCAAAGAGTCAGGCATGACTGAGTGACTGAACTGAACTGATGATTACCCTGACAAGATTTTAGAATTCAGTTATGGCAAACTCATTCCACTAATTGTATTTTATTCTAATTCCTTTTCTTTTTACCCTCTCTCTCTCCCTTCTTCTCTTCCTTCCTTCTGCTTCCCTCTCTCCTTCACTCCCTCCATTCTTTTTGTTACAAACTGTGAAATAAGGGCATTATGGAGGTGAGTGGAGAATGTTGTCAAATGATAAAATAGGATTAAATTAGTAAAGAAAGAGTGTGAACTTAGCAGAGATAAAACTTGTCACCACTTAATTTAGTACTTCTATAATATTTCTACTGTATTATTATTAAGATATTTAATCTATAAATTGTTTGGGAACCTAAATTATCTAGGTAATTATTTTGATACTCTTCTGTACTTGCAAATACAGTCACTAAGTGATACTTTAAAGTAGATTTATCCCAAAAATGTAGAGAATACATGCATTACAAAACTGATTATTTAATTTATTCATGTAGATAAACATACATTTTACTATGTGTTATTGGGGCATAACCAAGAAAGCAAAGGACAATCAGAAATTTCTGGAATGCTATAAGGTGTTTATCTTTCATTTAAAAATTCAGATTTAAGTTTTTCTAAAACCAAAATATAAATGAGATTTGATGTAAAGTTAATTTCCATTAATTTAAGAAAAGCACTTTAAAAGATTACATCTATCATTATAATAAAAAATATTTATTATAAAAATTATCACATTTCTCTGTACATAACCTAGACACAAAAACACAATTTATACATTAATAATTTAAGTGGGCCTGAACATTCAGTTTCCATCCACTAGGATCCTAAAGCTCTTCCACAGATTTCACAAATACCAGTATGGACTCTTTCTATTTTATACAGCTCCATTTACACATTTGATGTTACTGAGATACCAACATTTCTTATTCTCTAGTGTCTTAAAGACAGTTCCCAGTATTTGGGTTAACTGTTAATCAACTGCTTTAATTCTTTTGATAAACACAAATATTTACATGCAAAAATGTTTAGATTTTTGAAAAGTCAAATATTCTATTGCAAATAGTTGTATATAGTCAATAAATGCATGAGCCAGAGTCCCACAATCAAGAAAGTCTCCTCCAGGACTTCTGATGATAAAACCTGAAATCCACAGCAAACTGTCTGAGCCTTCTATGGCCACTACCAGAAGCACCGCAACACTAGGCCAGGAGAAAATTAACCACAAATGTTAGGTCCAACATAGAGATGGCACTGATTATTTTACAAAACAGAAACTGCTAGCTGGTTTTTTTAAAAAAAATATTCCAGTTTCACAGATGAGTTTATTATCTCGTAAAAGCCTACTATCTTGCAAGAGTGAAAAAAACACTGAAAGAAGCCATACTGTTTTGAAAAACACCAATTCATCTTCTTGTCAATAATTTATCCATGATAATATGGATCATTTCTTGAAATAATTTATGGGGAACATAGCAAGATGCTTGCCTTCTGCTTCCCTCCCTCCTCCTTTTCCATCGTTCTTTCCTTCCTTCTTTCCTTTTTGTGCCATATGCATTACAGCTTTCATGCATTAGCTCTCATTCACAACAATTTACAAATGAAAGCATCCATGCATGGCATGAGAATCTCTTACCCGCAGGCTCTTTGTTAAAAATACTCCAGGAAGTATTTAAATTCTAATGTTCTGGAACCATTTGTTAATTACACATTTTTATCAGATGTTAATGGTGGAGTGTAGAGAACATAGTTAAATATATAAAAGTATATATCTCTTTAAGCCTAGAAAATAGATGCCTTTGGATCACCACCGTTGTGGGGTGGAGAACAGCCTTCCTACTGAGTTAGATTCTGAATGCCTGATTTCTTTCCCTAATACTTGTTTTTCCAACCTACTTCTGTTTCACTTGTAAGCAAAGAAAAGTGAGGTTTTGCTATCACTTTGGAAATTCTTCTCTCCCTCCAACTGCCAACGTCCAGAATTCAGTGCACATTTTAAATTCAACCAAGACATATGCACCTTGCAATAAGTGCTCACTTCTTATTTGAGGTGTGAGCAGGAAAAGCAACATAATAAAGGCACCTTATTTATCAGAAGGGGCTTTCTTCTGAGTTTTTACATAGACCCAGGCCTTGGCCGCAACTTTGAATAAAGCGTGTTGGCTCATTTGCCCTCATTTGAAGTAAATGTTATTTTAGTCACTGATTTTTCACCTCTAGAATGCATATTTATGAAACATATGTTTATATACATTTCAAATCATACAGTATAAAATAAGCCCTCATCCTTTGAGTGGCAGGAAAGTACTGCCGTAAATACCAATATCTGATGACATCAATCAATGGCCTAAAGTATCAGTCGGTTGAAACTGCTAGCCTTCATCTTCCCTTCTCACTCCTTCCCCTTTTTGTTGATAAAGAGATGGTAGACAGGCTTATTTCTTCTGCAGGATGTGACACAAACTCAGGCGTTATTCTAAGTGAGGAGAATAAAGAGCTGGCCAGCCGTTACTCCTGCGGTCCTGCCCTGTGCTCGCCTGGGTCACAGAAAGGAGCCCTCTTCCCTTCACATCAGTGTTCCGATCAAGGAGTTTTTGTTGCTGCTGTTTGTTTTTGAGGAAACAAGGGTTCACGGGCAGACATTCCTGAAGCAGCGCTGGCACAGACCCACTTTGATCCCTTAAAGTGTCCGCGAGGCCCTCCTCACGCGGCCACTCTTTCCTTTGCCAGGTTCTTTGGTTCCTTGCTTGGGACACACCAGTCTCCAGCCTCGCTGCTCGTCTGATAATGTTTGAAGGCCGATTTGTTAAAGACTGGGAGTTTTTCTATGGACTCAGAAGACAGAGCCTGAAAGAGGGAAAAATCAAGCCAGAGAAATTATTCATTGCATACTTCGTACCCAAAGTAATTGTTCAAAAGAAACTCAGAGGTAAGCATTCAAACATTCAAATACATTCTTTTAATTAATTTAATAATAAAAGTACACCAACAGTCCATGGTATGGTAGGCACTGTATGAAAGAAAATTGAAAAATAAATATTATCTGTACCCTATAGGGCCTGAAACAGTATATATACAATTGTAAATTAGGAGGGCAAGAGGAGAAGAGGGTTGCAGAGGACGAGATGGTTAGAGAGCATCACTGACACAGTGGATATGAGTCTGAGCAAACCCCGGGAGATGAGTGAAGGACAGGGAAGCCTGGCGTGCTGCAGTCCACGGTGTCACAAAGAGCCAGACACGACTTAGTGACTGAACAACAAAATAAGTTTGGGAACAGTATTTGTATTCAGTAGTTACACATGCCCCTTATCTGGATATTGCTAGTTATAGAGTTGAATAAAAACAGACAAATAGGTTTTCCAGGCAAGACATCTGTATATGTAATAAAGTGAGAGTCCTAACCTGATACTATTGATCTATTAAAGTCTGACACTATAGATCTATAATACATTAATATTTCTCAATACATTGAAGACATTTTTAATGTTTAAGAAATGAATACATTAACTATCTCAGGTGTCCTAAGCTGCTGCTGCTAAGTCGCTTCAGTCGTGTCCGACTCTGTGCGACCCCATAGACGGCAGCCCACCAGGCTCCCCCGTCCCGGGGATTCTCCAGGCAAGAGCACTGGAGTGGGTTGCCATTTCCTTCTCCAATGCATGAAAGGGAAAAGTGAAAGCGACGTCTCTCAGTCGTGTCAGACTCTTAGGGACCCATGGACTGCAGCCCACCAGGCTCCTCCATCCATGGGATTTTCCAGGCAAGGGTACTGGAGTGGGGTGCCATTGCCTTCTCCCCAGGTGTCCTAAGACCATGTGGTAAATAACTCCCTTGCGCAAAACAGGAGCCTGGAAGCTTAATGTTTTAGTTGCTAATGACTGTGAATGTTTTTTCATTTGAACTAGTTGGCAAATGATTAACCAGAATCAGGACAGTGACCTTAACAAATAAATTGAGGCTTTATCAGAAATGGAAAAAACATGTACCAAGTTTTAAAGTTTAAACAGGAAGTGCCAGGCACCCCCTTGACAGCTTCTTAGCAGTCAGCTTTCCTCCCCCTGGATTTTTAATAAGGTCAGTTTAAGGTCTTGTCTTCTAGGCTGAAACATTATTAGCATATATGCATTTCCCACAAGCCTAAGTAAAACAAAACTACAGCTATTCTCACAGATGTTAAGCTGCCATGAAAAATTCACGTGAGCATCTCCTCACTCAGAAAGTACTGCGCTTCTTGGGAAACATTTTGCTTCACTGAGGCAGGTAGGGTCGCCTCACTTCCTTTTTGGCACATTACCATACTAAATATTAATGAGTATGTTTACACATACCAAACAGAAAATGTAATGGCTTGTGGTCAGTATTTGTGCTAACTCAGTTTGGGGTATTCACCAAGGATCATAGAACTCAGAAGCAATCTTTTCAGAAATAGATTCTTTTTATATTGGATTTAAAGGATACCTTTAAGTAGATGATAGCATCAGTTCCGTATCCTGGCAGAGAGTAGAGATTTAGATCTCCTTGAAAGTACTTGGCATAGAGACGAGAAATCGGCAAGCCGTAACCAAATCCAGCCTGGAAGGGAAAGATCAGTTACTTAAAAAGAAGTGAACACCATCATAGAAATACAAAATATACTCCCTGATACTGATGTCCTAGGACTTAGACACATATCTTCTGCTTCCAATCAGAAACCCCTTGGATAACTGTTTCTTAGTTGGCTTTATCATTCCTTCTCATACCCCCATGCCCAGTTTAACTAAATTGATTAACTTGCCTAAATACATCCTTATAATCCTTGCTGTACATTTAGAACTAGGTGGCTCGGATGAACTTAGTCATTTAACTGGTCTTACCAGCGGAGCATTCCGGGAACTATCCATCACAGGCGTTGGTGCAGTGGAGTACGTGTAACTAAAGAGACGGTCAATGACTCTCAGGGGAACACCACCTCCTCTGTCTGAAATCTTAAACAAACAAGGCATCAGAGTTATATGCTAAAAACAATGTGTATTTGTCTATACAAAAATGTCTTGTCTTCACCTGTACATGACTTTGATCTGTAGCTCAAAGCAGACAGCTTTATTATTATTGACTCCTTTTTTAAAATTCTCTAAAGAAGGACTCAAAAGAAAAAACAGAATAGCTACCTTAATTGTAAGATCTTCTTTCCCCAAGACAACAATCACCTCAATTGGTGTCAAGGAAGGACAGTTTTCCTGGTGTTCAACTGTGGCCCTCATTGCATTCTGAAGAAAACAAAACCACAAGGAATTCAATGGCAGAAGGATGAGGGACAATAAATAATTGTTTTTATGTTTACAATGAAAGCACAGAGGGTAATTCAAAGTTCTTATTTTACTTTTTTAAGTTAGGAGTAAAACAGCTCTGTGAATAGCCATTTATGAATGTGTCATGCAGGATGTATAATGAAAAATGTTCATTTATCATGTAATATAGCTCTTGGGAGTAATGTCTAATGGAAAAACAATTCTGCTAGCTGTCAAGTTCTTATTTGTAAGCTTAATTTAAATGTAGAAATTGGTTTTTATAGTCCATTTCCTGGCTCTCTCTTTTCTGACTTTCCATTACATTTTACATCTCAGCACCAAAGACTATTACATAACAAATAAACAGTGAATCATTGAACCAATTTATTGGCTTTTATAAAATTTGATGGCAAAATGCTGTTACTATGTAAAAGAATAGTAAATAATTCTAAATTAAATTTCAATTTGCATTTGATTATCATCTTAACTTTTACCATTGATGGCAAAATAACTGTTATGAGTTGGACCATTCAATTTAAAAGTAAATCAAGTCAACAAAAAAAGTGTCTTTGTCCTTTAACTGAAAGAAACCCAAATAAGTTTTCAGACAGCTAGATGAATTTCATACAAAGTTTGGTTTAGTTTACCCATTTTTTTCCTACCCTTCTGTTAGGTTATCTGCTTTCTGGTTTCTATATAACAATGTTAAGTTCTAATCATTAGCTGAAGTGAAATAAAATAGATCAGATGTTTGTAGTATAATCAATACCTCATTGCACTAGTATTAGAATAAGTTAGGAAATAGTGGGTTCTCTGAGTTATATCAATGAGGCAGATTTCACATTATTTTTTTTTTTTAAGGCTTCCTCCTCTCCAGGCCAGGGGACTCAGGAACCATCACAAAGCTTCAAGTGTTTTTCTATCTTTTGGTGTAAGGATAGAGTTTTAGTGTGGGCTTAGAACCTGGGACAGGATTTGATCCTTAGTACCTGACTGTCACAGACCTATAACCACCACATCCTCTAAGATGTTAGAAATGCAAGTTCTCAGGTCCAGGGTATCTGAATCTCTGAGACAGGCAGAAGAATCCATATTTAACAAGGCCTTTGGTGACTGTAATGCACATGAAAGTCTGAGAAACACTATCCTACTGTTCGGGCTTCCCAGGTGGCCCAGTGGTAAAGAACCTGCCTGCCAATGCAGGAGATGCCAGAGACGCAGGTTTGATCCTTGCACTGGGAAGATCCCTTGGAGGAGGGCATGGAAACCCACTCCAGTATTCTGGCCTGGAGAATCCCATGGACAGAGGAGCCTGGTGGGCTACAGTCCGTGGGGTCACAAAGAGTCAGACACGACTGAAGTGACTGAGCACACACGCCCCGGACTGTCTTGCCATGAAAAGTGTGGACCATGGACCAGCAGCATCCGTGACCAGGACTGTCAACTTATTAGAAATTCGGAATCTCAGGCCCAATCCCAGACCCACAGAATCTGAATTAAAAAAAAACTCCCAGGCGATGCAGATTCACATCAAAGTAGGTCACTGAAGGAGCTGACTGCCCTCCGAGTATATTCGTCATAGACGGGGGCCCTGCCACCTCCAGTAATTCCAGACCTGAACTTCTGGATTTGGAGTTGGACTGGCCATGGGCGTGGAGGTAAACAGGCCTCGGTCACTGAAGCATTCACCCTATGACCTTCCTTAATGAATGCATGAATAACTAGTGCTTTGTTGGACACCTGAAAATATAATGGGAACAGGGAGCAGTGTGACATAGTGGGTCATATTGTACATTCTCAAATACATGTTGATGCTACAAGGAACTGCATGTACCCTTTCAAACATTAACTGTAGCTTCTTCCTGTTAGAACATAGAAGCATGCTTGGGAGAAGAGGGTGAGGCTCCTGTTTAGTAGAGGATGATAAATTAAATAAAAATGTATCCAGTGAACTTTTTAAAAAAATGCAATTATTGTGAAGTGTCTTACCTTGAACAATTCAAAGAGCATATGATGAAGGTGAGATGGAACATACACAATATGAATTGGTTGGCCTGGAAATTTTACTAGAAAAAAAATTAAGCTCATTTAGAATTGGGAAACAAATATTTCATTAAAATATATTTTCATATCTATTTGATTAATATTTTAGATTTGAACAGAATTGGGATACTCCCCATCCTCCTCTAAAATCCTACCTTAGAACCTTCCCTTTCAAACAGTAAACACAGCTGGCTTATTTTCAAAATGCTATTACAGTTGCTTCTTAGTGCTCTATGATTTAATTTTTGCATTTCTGTACAAATACATAAAGCCAGATAAATGTAGAATGAGGGTGCTCTAAATTAGATTACATGGATTAGTTATTTCTACTTTCAAAACTTTTGTGTTGAACACTTACAGAGTTAAGATTATATGCATTTTAAGAAAAAAGAAAAATAAATGTAAAAGTCTACAATAACATCAAAATTGATGCTAGCTAGCTATAATTTTCATATTTTTAATGCATGGAAAAATAACACATCTGATTATTCTTGACTTTTGTGAATTAAACATAAAATCCCATAGGCTCAATATGCTTAAATTTCACCAAGAGGCTACAGAAAACAGAAACAAAAACCTCATAATACTCTGAAAAGAAAAAAAAAGTATTATTCTTCAGTGTTTCAGGCCTTGGCAGAGTTTGAAAACAAGGTCAGGCACAATTTCCTCTTTATTTTAGCAAACAGTTAAAGCAGTTTATCTGCAAGTATTATGCAACATTTCTGTTAATGCTGAGAAATATTTTTCAGTCCACTCCTACTTTTAGTTTAGCCATCAATTCCATTTCCCTTTCCCAAATCCAGGAGCTAGGGTACTCTTAATTTGAACAACTTGATTTAAATTCTCTCCACCAACAAATATTGTTCCTGTATAATGATTACTTGAAAAAGATGTTTACTTTGAGTGGCAAGGAGAAGGTTATTTGAATTTAAGCGTACGGTCTTGCTTTGAGAAGCAACTATGGGATAAGATAAAAATAGTGCATTGCACTCATCCTGTAATTACTTCAGGCAGTGTGGGAAGCCCTTCTAAAGTATGTTCTGCTTCCAAAACCATGGTGTATACTTACATGAAAAAATTTCTTTTAAACTTTTGGTAAAAACATTTAACATGAGATATACCTTAAATATTTAACTATACAATACAGTGTTGTTAACTGTAAGGGTGGCGCTGTAGAGCAGATCTCTAGAACTTATTCATCTTGCATAACTGAAACTTTATACACACGGAATAGCAACTCCCCATTTCCCCTCTTCAGCTTCTGGTAACCGCCATTCAACTCTCCACTTCCATGAGCTTGACTATTTGTGATACCTTATGTAAGTGCAGGCACACAGTATTTGTCCTTCTATGACTGGCTTCTTTCTTATAGTACAATTTCAAGTATTTTTGTTTTCAGGTCTGATAAGTAACCTCCTTAGGAATATATCTCCACTACCAAGTGGTTCCTCCAACTCTGCCTGCCTTATCACCACATTCTGAAGCTAGCAATCTTTCTTTGATCTAAGATACTGGAACTTAGCTGCTTCCCTAAATCCTACATTATCTGTTCAAACCATTCTTCTTTATGAATTGTCTTTAGCAACTGAATATACTCAATTGGAACTTTCCAGTTGAGATAAGAGAGCCTTGGTTTCAAAAAAAAAAAAAAAAGTGTAAAAATTCTGGCAAGTTCAGGAGGGGAAAAAGGAACACATAAATTGCTTTGTATTTACAGGAAGAAATCATACTGGGAGAACACTGAATTTTCTACAGATTAAAATATATCTAATTTATAACTTACCATTCACTTGTGTTAGCTTTAATTCTGGAGATGTTAAGTAATACTGATCACAAAGCATCTTGGAACACTCGAAGGCATCTGGAATGGAAGTGTGTTTTTCATAATGATTAAATGAATTTATGCCAAGTAAAATTTTCAAGCCATCATCAGTGTATACACTACCTTTAGTCTAAAATATTCATTAGAGTTGAGGTTTATGTATATTAAAAATACCTTTTTAATATTTTATTGAAAAAAATGAAGACAATGTTTAAGCTATTGCTATAGGAATATGTGCACATCAAAGATCAAATATAATATATGAGAATATGGCACATTAGCTATTGATGTTTGGATTTTTTATAATGAATATTTAAACACCCGACTCTCAAAAGTAAAGGACCTTCATTACAGAATTTATAAAAACATAAAAGGAACACTCTGAATTTGAATTCATTCAGAGAGTCACCTCAACTGACTAGATGTATCAGTCAGATAGTGTACATTTTCAGTAAGGGAGATGCAGAAACCTACAAATTACCTTGGGCCACTGCTGCCACATCACAGTTTGGATCAATGCTTCCAATGAGGCTTGGGTTTCCTGTCTGTAAGTCACTAAATATAAGGACTGTTGAAAAATAAAAACAAAGAATATCATTATAAAAATCAGGATAACAATGATTAGAACTACCACTGAGAGAGAATGTGACCCACCAAGTAGTAAAGTATCTAGTTAAGAGTACAGCTTATATTCTCCACCCATCTCTATATTTATCATGACTATCGTGATGAACTAACTCACTGTGCTGGTTCATTAGCATCCGGGTAGAAATACGATTCATGTAAAATCGATCCAAGAAATACTGAAGGTTTTGATTGGTGACTGGGTCGGCTGTACAGGCATCTTTATATTCTAGGATTCCTTGTGCCATTGTAGGAATTACGTCATGGTGTCTATTTCGAACTTTGATGAGAGTATCTACAAAACTAAGCCAAAATACGTTTATGGTTAATAGAGGTTCAAGTAAGTTTCATTAATTTATATTTCTTAGATTACTTCAAAGAAGGTTAAAGCTTTTTTCAAGGACCCATCTAAACAAATCAAATGATAAAATGGTTGGATGAAGCATTATTTAGATTCTCACTACAGATTCTTTGACTACAGTAGCGGAGATAGTTTCATAAACAGATTTATTTTGCTTTTAGCTTGCATGTGAAAATACCAGCTCTGTGACTGGCGTTTTCATTCTAGTTGTTCACTAAGGATCCTCTTTTAAAAAATAATAATTAAAAAAATTAGTCATTTTGGAGATGGCTCTAAAATGCCATTGTGAAAGAAACTTCAAATTTCTTGTCAGATTTAGAAAAGAATCATAGCTAGAAACTGTCAGTTACTCTGAAAGAAAATGTTTACTCTCCAATGACAGTGTCATGTGTTAGTATTATGTGATAGGAAGTCCTTCTACAAATCTGGTCATCATACTAAATTTATAATAAAAATAGATTTCCTTTTCCAAAAAATCCTCTACATGTTTCATTCTCATAATCATGTTCAATGCCATTATTCTCCACTACTTTTAAAAACCAACAGGCCAAAATTTGTCATTTGTAAGGGGATAGTTATTTACTATTCAGGACAACATTATAAATTATCCATTAAGTTAGTTCTAAAAAATAATATGATGTTCAGAGTCAAAGTCTGAGACACTTCTAATGCATAACACTTACTCTGATAACGCCTTCTGGTCCTCTGGGCTTTTCTCATGGAATTCCACCAACTCCATCAGGCTCTGCATATACCTAGAAAGCAATAGGTGTACTTTAAGTTTTAAAATTGAATAGTCAGTTACAGGTGGCTGAAAATTGACTGCCTTTTTCAAAAGATTTGAAGAGAGAAAGTATAACTAAAACGAAAGCTTTCTTCCAAGACATTTGGAAAACATTATGTCTTAGAAAAAAGAAAACAATTTAATCCTCAACTTAATAACTTAAAATTTTAACTGTCCTGGATCACTAGTCAGTTTTCCGTTTTGTTTGTCAAGAGTCTTTATTTTTGTAGCAAAATCATTTAGAAACAACTTTTACAGAAAGGCTTCATGCTTTTTTCCTACTGCATTCAGAGGAGAGTAGAAGTCTTGAAAGTAGCAGTAAATACTAGCCTGTGTTTCAGATTGCAAATGCTAATGGCTGTATAATACATATATTCCTTAAATCAGTAAATGAAGAGCTGTGCAGAAGGTGGGTTAGGGTGAAGGTCTGGTATTTATGTGCCTCAGTGTATAACCTGGCTCTGTCCTCTGAAAATCTGCTGCTTTGGGTTATCTACTCTCCCTAACTCAGTATTTATTTTCAAAAAGAGATCATAATTGAACTGAGTGCTGGCTATGGGCCAGATCCTCGTGTCTTTTAAATGGATTACCTCATTTAATTATACCCAAATATCCCTTTGAGGAATCAGCTTTATTCTCCTCCAAAATAGACTGGGGGGACTGAGGCCTAGAGATAAGATACTAACCAAGGATTTTTACAACTAAGAAGGGACAGACCTGGGATTTGAATCCAGAGGCTGCTTCATTAATTGGTTCGTAAGCAACAAAGATTAGTGAGTGAGTGAGTGAAAGTCACTCAGTCATGTCTGACTCTTTGTGACCCCATGGACTGTACAGCCCATGGAATTCTTCAGGCCATAATAGTGGAGTGGGTAGCCTTTCCTTTCTCCAGGGGATCTTCCCAACCCAGGGATCAAACCCAGGTCTCCTGCATTGCAGGAAGATTCTTTACCAGCTGAACCACCAGGGAAGCCCAAGAATACTGGAGTGGATAGCCTGTCCCTTCCCCAGTGGATCTACCTGACCCAGGAATTGAACCGGGGTCTCCTGCATTGTAGGCAGATTCTTTACCAACTGAGCTATGAGGGAAGCCCCCATCTTTGATGTCTTCTTTTTTTTTTATTCAGAATACTCCCAAATTTTTAATTCTAGCCAGACTCTCCACTTAGTTTCTGAATGGTATAGCCAAATGCCAGCAAGACATTTTAGGCCCTCTCTAAATAGTAGTCAGTCTGTATCTATTTCTAGGATAGGATTCTTTTTGCAATACCAAACTCTTTTATGATTTAAAACACAAATATGATAACTATTTATTATTTTTCATATTTTCTTCTAGAGGTAAAAATTATATTGTGAAAATATCTACTTTTTCAGGTTTATAGCTTTATAACTGCCCTTAGGATAACTTATCCTAGATTAATAGAAAATTCTTTACATCTTGCTAAGTAGTTAAGGTTCAGACCACCTGTTTTCCAATTAAGATTTTAATACATTGTAAGAATTCATACTCAAATAACTGTTTTAAAACTAGAGACTGTTTCAGAATGCTTCACCACTTACCAGCTCTTAACTAACTGCACTGAAGAGGTATTTACTAGTTGGTCAGGGAGTATATAAATTTCCTTCAGGATATTGGCTAGCCTTACAGGCAACTCTTGTCGCAAAAATGCAAAAGAGGTTCTTTCACATGCGTTTTCTGAACCTGCAATAAACAACATTTATTTTTTCAAAAACATGAACCTAAATTATATATTTGAGTAGCATTAACTATCCAGTTTTGAACATACATATTACAAAATTTTATTTCACCCTCAGTAGTAAGCATGTACTTATAATTCATTAGTAAGCATCTTCTTCTTCATCAACTTTTTCTTTCTTTTAGAAAAAGTGACCAAATATGAGAATTACTGTTTTCTCTTTTTCATGAGGATTCACTTCCAAGAAGTCATAATATCCCAAGGCTCTTAGTATTTATAAAAGAGTGCAGGATTCAATCCAACCACAAGGTTGAGAAGACAACATCATTCAGAGTTCTAGATAGGAAGGTGGAGTAAGGAGATTGGGGGTGGGGAGGAGGATGTCCTGATATTTACAGACTAGCGATAAATAAGATTTTTCTGCCTTAAGTTTACAAATATTTTCAGCAGTAATGCAAGTATAGAGAAAACAGCAAAGGTAAAGAAACAAAGAAATTTGTTAGGACTACAGAGAGATGAACCCTGTGGAAGGTGGCTAGAGGTTAAAATAGCAATTAATTCAAGCCTACTTAATAATACAAGGAATCTTCTCCAAGAAGTAATATGCGATGAAGGAGGGGAAAACGTCTCCTCTTTAGGAAAAAAGGGAAGTTTCACTATTGTTAAATGATGACTGGAGGCAAAAAGTCTTTTGACTGAAAGCTTAGGACAGAATGAGGAGGGTGAGCTCAGGTTATCCGGCAGGCATCAGCGGGGCTCCAAGTGGCCTTGACCTGCAGGCAGAGACTGTCAGAAAGGAGGCAGATTTAAGAAAGACAAAGTGTGCTGGCGTCGAGGTTCCAGGGTTCCGCAGGAAAGCGGACCCGGGTGGATTTAAGTTAAGGAGTCCTCCCTATACCGGGTCTGAAAGCTGAGGCAGCTCCCCAGACCCTCCCGGGCCCCACGTCCCCGCTCACCGAAGTCCAGCAGCTGCTTCATGGACAGCGGGGACGGGCTGTAGCGCGAGAAATGCTCGACCTCGCGGGGGATCAGGGTGCCAGCGCTGCGCATCACGAAGCGTGCCGCCTTCATCTTGATGCCCACGGATCCGGGCCGGAGCTGGGGCTGGTTTGTGGGGTGAAAGGCTGACCTGGGGCCGCAGAAGGGGCGGGACGCGTCCGGGCAGGGAGAGCAGGTGGGCCAGCGGCCTCGTGCGCCCCGGCCTGCGCTGAGGTTCCGGGGAAGGGTGGCTTCGCGGTTGAGGAGTCGGCCGGTGAGTCTGCGGAGCCGTAGGTGGCTTGAGACTCAAGTTCGTGTCCTGTCACCTCCCGTCGCCTCCCGAGGTTTTATTTGTTTCCCTGCACGTCCCCCCACCCCGCACCCCGCCCCAGCTCGAGGGGAGGAGTCACTGGGCCTTGGAGAGCTTCCTGAACTTGGGGCTGCGCCAGTCGGCTCAGATGAAGAACTTTGGGTCCCGCCTCCAGGTGGCGGGGGACTGGCCCCAGAGGCTGCCAGGGGTAAGGGGATACCAGGAAGCCCAAGCGGACGTCAGGGGTACGAGGGCTCGAGATCAGACCCGTGGGACAGGACCCCGGAGAGCGTGGGCTGCGGGCCAGCCCAGAGCCGTCCTTGTTTACCAGAGACGGCCGTCTCAATGTCACGCATTCCTGGCCAGAAACTATTTCCAAGAACCTGCGTTCGGAGACATCATTGGTCCTCGCTCAGAGCGGGGCTTTTACAGTAGCTAATCAGCTTTGTCCAAGAGTATGGGCTGCTCTGCTATTGGACAGCGAAGAGAATCAACAGCCTGGAGTTTTTCCGGCGTGTTCTCCATCCCTGAATGGCACAGGTCGGGAACTGAAAGTTCCTTTTGCTGGAACTTGAGGAACAGACCAAAGAACGGGTTATTTTCCTTTGTGGGGATAAAAAAAGCCCTCAGTCTGTTTCCTTCCCGTAATACATTCCCTCCATTAGGCTTAACTCTTTTAATTAAAAACAAGATTCAAAAGGGATTAGCTTGTCACTTTGACTCACTTTTTCCCCTTTCCATCAGAGACTTTGCCACTCTGTCCTTCTGTATGAAATGTCCTTTATCCAAATTTCTGCCCAAGACGTTATTTTATACCACTAAATGTCCAGCACAACCTATGTGCCACGAGGTATCTTCCCTGATTGCTTCTCCTCACTCCTTCTTCCAAATATGGCTTTTCTCACTTATGACATTATATTGTAGCTATTTGTGTTCTTATATTTTTCCCTTTCTGAACCCTCTGCCCTGCAAGAGATCAGGTTTGGGACCATGTCTGATGACTCTTTGAGTTCTACTTTGCTTTGTTGCCACTCAAGCTCAGTTACGAAAACATAGAGAAAGTTCCAAATTGCATCTGCACTTAGAGATAAGTTTCGATACCACTGTGATTTATGTCTTTACATTCTGAATCCTTTTTTACATAATTGCACAGCTCTATGAAACAACAACAGCAACAAAAATGGTCAAGAAGTCAAAAGACTAAATAAAACTTCTCTGATGAAGCAAGTAAATTTAAGGTAAAAAAATTCCTTCTTTTTACTTTAATACATCCTAAGAATGGAAGTAAAAGAAAAGCACACCTTTGCTTTTCTCACCCTGTGTGTGGGATCTGGAATAGGCAAAGTATTTCAAAGAATTCTACTCTTTAATCTGCAGAGGAAAAGCAATGGAAATGATGGTGTTCATTACAAGCAGGTTTAATTTAGGAGAGCCCCATTGAGCACTTGACCTGACTTACCTTGCAGGACTCCCATATGTGTTGTGGGGTGATTAAAGATCAGGTGAAGTCATATGATGTTCACAGAGATGGCTAAGGGCTAAATGTGAACTGAGGTCATCACACTTTTCTGTGCGTGTTATCCCATCCAATAGTATTTACCAGGTTGTTCTCATAGTACATTACATTCTTCTCTGTCATTTCTCTATGACAGGAACAGTTGTTTGTTGACAGCATCCATGGTAACTAGGCTGGAGTAGACAGGTCAAGTTGTGTACCCAGTTGGATAAGATGCCACGTATTACCGTGATTAGAATGTGACCTGGAAAGAGAGCTGCATTTATATTCTCAGGCTGAACTCAGAACTTGGAGGTAATCCAGTTGATATTAACAGTAAAGGAAAGGCAATTATTGAGGAGCAATGGGTATGGGCAGATCTGCTCATTCGTTGAGTAAAGGTAAACCATCAGAGGGCTATCAGTGGATTTGGTGTTAATGGACAGAGGGGAGTACCAAAGCTTCCCCCTCGTACTCTGTGCTGAACACATCCTCCCTGCTTGAGGTAACTGATTCCTGTAATTTTGGGGAGCACCCTTATTTTCAGGGGCATCAGATGAATTCTTTCTAGCCTAGCAAAATCTGATAACACAGGACCTGTGATTGAGCTTCAAGAATGCAAGTCACACTTTTGCCAAAGGGCTGGACATATCCAATTTAAAGAATGCATCAAGACTCTAAAGAGAAGCCCATTCAACTTTTCTACCTCTAGGAGCATAGTCCAAAGAAGCGATTAAAAATATACATAATAGGAACTTTAAAAGCCATCATGGAAAGATGAACAGATTTGACTACAGAATCTCTCAAGTTAAAAAAATGAGCAGCATACTTGGAGAAAGTATTTTCATAGTATATAACAAACAAATGATTGTTTAAGAAATGGCTACGTCAACACAGTACAATATAGACATGCTCTGTTCCCTCATGGAGATAGATTTGTGGGGGAAACAGGCATTACAAAAACAAATGGACAGTGAGGGCCATGAAGAAAATGCATTTGAAGAGTATAATGGGAAATGTTGATGCTTTGTGGGCAAGGAAGGTCTCTCTGAGAAAGTAACAATTATAAGAGATACAGCAGCCTTCCACTGGGCGGGGTGAGAAGGGAATATTGGTGAAGGGATTGAGGAAAGCCAGCCCTAAATCACTGAGACGTCTTATAATTTGGTACTTTTAGAGAATACTATGTATCAGGAGCTGGACTGGGGATGCATTGGTGGGTGCAAAAACATTTTCTCCTAACAGTGGGTGATGGAAAACAATAGTTGAGTTTTTTTAATTATGGGATTTTTAAAAATTTAATCATCAGAGCAAGAAAAAACTACAATTAATTCATTATCAAATACTTCATAATAGAGAGTTGATCAGCGTGTCTCTTTGGTGGTAATAGTAATGTGGTAATGCTGACCTCTCCAAAGCCAGGTGATGTTTGGAGGAAGAGCTGTTGGAGATTAGTGAATGCTGTCTCTGAGGACTGCATTTTGGGGTAACCTTAGAAGGATGAGGAGGATTTGGGCAAATTATTGGTAGATGATGTGGAAGGATGTTTAAGCCTAGAAGAAGGACGGGCGTACAAGCTAGGGATATAGCAGAGAAATAATGACTAGTTACCAAAGTGGGGAGGGAATGGAAGATTGGGTTACATCATGAAAGCCTTAAATGCTGGTTTGAGGACTTTGCTATTCCTGGAGTAGGCATCATGAAACTGTTAAGGCCTCTTAGGCAGCAAGCGGTGTGCTCCCCTCTCAAATTTGTTAGCAGCTAAACAATTCAATGTAACTAAAGTTCACTGAACACCCATTATGTACCAGGCACTGTGATAGGTGCTGGGGAACATAAAGGTGAAAAGGGTAGAGTTCCTTTCTTCAAGGTTTAGAGAATGATATATAAATAGTCTAAAGAAAAAATAGTGTGATGTATATAAAGTATGTGCTGGAGTGGAGGGAAGTGCAAGCAGTCAGCAGAGACTTCTGGAGGAGGTGGCACATCTGAGTTATGAAGGTAGAACAGAAGTTCATGGGTGAACAAAGAGGAAAAGTGTTGGGGCAACGTGGGGAGAAAATGAGAAGAGTAATTTCATTGGCAAACTCTCTAGGCTTTGTCAAATCTGAGAAGGAAGAATATAAAAAACAGTTCTCTGAACTTATAAGCCTGTGCTACTGGGAGGGGTGATTCAACAACAGAAGAAAGTGAAAAGGGTCAGGAAGAAAGGACAGGTTGACTGAGGAGAAGGGAACACAAATGGTGAGTTTGGGAACACCTTGAGTTCAGGAGAAGTCACTGGGGAAACAGTCACAGTTGTAATTACTGGTGAAGGTAAGATGAGAGGAGAACTCAAAGGCTATTGAGCCATTGCTGAGAAGTGACAATGAATGAATGAGAGTCTCTCCCTACTTTCTTTATGCAAGGCTCCCCTCAACAATCGCCTACAGCTATGTCTCACTTTTTTTCCATGCACATTACTTCCTTCTGGAGTAGTCCTTGGTTTCATTTGCAGCCTCCCTACACTTACCAAAGTCAAAACCCTCCCTTCACTAAAGAAGTAGCACCAAAGCAAAAGAATTCTTTTCCTTCTTTTTCAGCGGGAGCTCCAATGTTATCATAAAAAAAAGCAAATGAATCCTGAAGGTAGCACATCTTGACTTTCCTTGGGGAAGCAAGAAGAATTTTTGCCTCAGGTCCAAATACAGGCTTACAGTTAATTTCCTCCCCCCACCAGAAATGTTTCTTTTTTTTTTTTTTTCATTTATTTTTATTAGTTGGAGGCTAATCAGAAATTTTTCAACTGTGTTAAATGTTTGCATTTACAAAACAATAAGAGAAGGTAAGCAAAGGAAATTTAAAAATTAAAGAAAAAAATAATAGACATATGGAAACATTCTGAGACTAATGATTGAGTAGGAAAATAGGAAGTAATAAAGTAATGAGACATCATTGTTCTACCATCAGATTGGAAAATAACGAAAAAGTCTGATAACATCTGATGTTGGCAAGTCCTGGGGAAAGGAGCTGTATTACTATGTTATTTGTGGAAATATAAAATTGGTAACATTTTCTGGAAGGCACTTGGCAGAATCTATAAAATTTTAAGGATAGTTACCTCATGTTTCAGCCATTCCACTTCTAGAAACTTAACCTACAGTTTTACCAGCAGAGAACATGAAGATTTATGTACAAGACTGCTCATGGAGTACTACCTGTGAGAACAAGATGTTGAAGACAAAAGAACTTGTCTACTCATGGGGGAATGAATAAATAAATGACACCGTGCACTAAAATCCTAAAAGACGATGCTGTGAAAGTGCTGCACTCAATATGCCAGCAAATTGGGAAAACTCAGCAGTGGCCACATTACAGGAAAAGGTCAGTTTTCATTCCGATCCCAAAGAAAGGCAGTGCCAAAGAATGTTCAAACCACCGCACAATTGCACTCATCTCACACACTAGCAAAGTAATGCTCAAAATTCTCCAAGCAGGGCTTCAACAGTATGTGAACCATGAACTTCCAGGTGTTCAAGCT